CACCAAAATCCCGCTGAGCCAACCCAATACATTAGTCTTGTTGCTTCATGTGTTTTCAGAGAATATCTGGATATTACAATGCCTAATTTCAGAATGCATAGAGAAGGGAAAATAATGAATGCAATTGAGTGGGTTATTTGGGTATCTCAGTAACTTGGCTCCTCAGACAAAGACACCCAGTGTAATTGGGGAAAAATATTATAAGAGGTTTCTGAAGTGAAAATAACTTGGTGAATATTCAGTCTAAGGGGTAGGGATACTATCATCTGCATCATTGTTACAATGAAAAGTTGAGATTTTCCTATGGACATTCACTAGTTGAAAGCTATAGAGTTGAACTTCAAAGTAGAGGAATAAGACCTTTGACTTTTTCTGGTTTCTTTTTGGGGGGGGGGAGGTTTGTTTAGTTTTGTTTTAAGCTTGAATAAGAAAGCCCTAGTAGAGATTAGAAAAACACATCCCTCTGGACAAGTGAAGTGGTTCTCTTACAAGTGTTCTTTTGCCAAATATCTGACAGTAGCCTGTGCTAGGGTTAGAGTATCAAAGTAGAGGTTTGATCAGTTGGGGAGAGCCATTTCATAAAGTATAAAAGTATCTTATTCTTGTGTGTAGAATTTTAAAAACACATATGTCATGGATATGTGGTATCTATTTTGTCTATATCCATGTATGCATTTTTACATTTGTGGAAAAAAATTACATGTTATATAGTAAAAATAGAATATATGCCTTACAAATAGTTCCAGTATGGAAGAGGGGTGCCTTCCTTAATGTCTGTTTCTTTTCTTTTGCATACCTAGCAGGAAATAGTATTTTCTTTTAAAAAATGGTAGAAATTGATGCCATAGAAACAATTTTTAAAGATGAGAGGACCTGTTACCTTTATTTTCATAGACTCATAGAATGTTTTGGGTTGGAAGAGACCTTAAAGATGATCTAGTTCCAAGCACCCCACTGTGGGCAGGGACCCCTCTCACTAGACCGGGTTTCTCAAAACCCCATCCAACCTGACCTTGAACACTTCCAGGGATGGGGCTTCCACAGCTTCTCTGTTCCACTGTCTCACCACCCTCACAGTAAAGAACTTATTCTTTATACCTAATCTAAATGTACCACCTTTCAGCTTAAAGGCATTACTCCTTGTCCTAACACTACATGCCCTTGTAAAAAGTTCAACTTTCTCATAGGCTCCCTTTATTTAGGTCCTGGAATACATTTTATTTTGTTTTTATTTTGCTTGCTTTATTTTACTTCATTTTCTTTTTGTCTTATATCTAAAAATATATTTTTATTTTGGAAGACACTTGCTTCAGTTTCAGGTCTATGAAATACGGAGCGCACCTGATTGTATTTGCAAAAGTTCCAAGCATTTAGTACATGTAATACTCACATTAAATTCTTCCCTCTTCCATAATGTCTCTTTTCTGCAGCTTTTGCAGATACACTGTGAAGTTCTTTAAATTGGAGGACTTGGTAGGCCTAGAGCAGAAATAATGTAATCTGTCATTGATTTAGAGAAGCTGTTCAACTGCAGGAAGAAGACATTTTTAGGGCTTTTAGCAGTGAAACAGTTAAGGGAAATTTGTTTCCTTTCTAGCCCCAGTGGCTGTCGTCCAGGTCTGATCAGAGAGCAAGTTCTAATGGGAATCTGCTTAGAAGACTACACCTATAATGTTAGGAAAAGCAACGTATTAGAGCTTTTTTGCCTTTCAAGATGTCAAAAGGTACTTTATTGCTAAAAGCAATAAAATTACCTAAATATGTTTTTAATTAATTCCAGAAGTTTCTTAGATGGCCCTGTTTAAGTAGTGATCCGCAGGAGTAGAAGAGGAAGAATGTACAGACAGAATTCATTAATCTTATTTACATTGTAGGTATTTCCTAGTATGTTACAAAAACCCAACTGTCTGCATTAAAAATATCTCTCTTCTGTCCAGTTTGGATAATATATGAACAGGTGATGATTGCTGCCCTGGACTGCAGTCGAGATGATTTGGCATTGGTAAGTTTTTCGAGTTGACTTTTCCCTCAAACCTTAAGTTTTCTTCCTGCATATGTCTTTCCTATAGTTCTTTGGGCAGTTACAGGATATTCTGAACTCCGTAGCCTGGACTTGTGGAGTATCTCTCGAGAAATGCACTGCTGGGCAGAAACCACCTCCGCCCACCTTCTCTAATGTGTAACTTTTGTTTAGACAGATCATGTCTCTTCCAATAGCCCTGAAAGTATTTACAGCTACTCCAGTGTGGGCTAAATGTCAAGAATAATATTGGAGTTGCCATACTGTACAGAGAGTGTTTGTTTATTGAAAACCTCTCAGATTATATTGGGTTTTTGAATGTTTTGAGGTAAAATGTTCTGTCGTGCATATCGTATTATATGTCGTGTTGGCTATTATCAAAGAAAGCCATTGACGTATTGGAGCAAGTCTTCGAGGTGAATCAGGAGCTGGACTGCGTAATATATAAGGAAGGGCTGAGAGATCTGGGTTTGATAAGTCTTGAGAAAGCTAAGAAAGGATTTTATTGCTGTCTTTGGATATGTACAAGTGGGGAGATATAGAGAATGGTTAGACAGATATTTATAGATGGGCAGCAAAAGACACATGTGGGAGACGTAAGCTGCAACAAAGAAAATTCCAGTTTGATAATAGGAAGAACAGTGGGGTTGGTGAACACTCTGGGACAAGTGGCACAGAGAAACTGTAGAATCTCCTTTGGAGATGCTCAGAAATGCATTGGGATATGGCCCTGCACTCATTTGGAACCTGGCTCTGTTTTCAGTGGGAGTTTGGAGCAGGTGATCTCTAATGGTCCCTTGCAATCCAAATTACTGAGTGATTCTTCATAAAAATATTGTTAATGGATATTTGAGTTTAGTGAATTTGTGTCCAAATATATTTGAATTATACAAATAACAATTTAGATAAAATTAATTTATTTAGGACTATAATACCTGTTCACTAAATTATAAATGGAAAATCACCAAAACAAAAAAAAAATTCAACCAGCTTAACCTTTAAAAGGCAGTAAATAAAAAAGGCAAAAGTGTGTTTTGCAAGCACATTTTATAAACCTTTTCATCACTCCTTCACAAAACACTGGGAAAAAAACTCAGGAGCTTGTCTTATGCCCTGAAAGCCAGCAAGCTTGAGATGTTCTCAGTAAAAAAAAAAAATAAAAATTCAGGACTTGAGATCTTTCATGGGGATTACTTTTCCAGTGTCTTATTCTCTGTCAGATAGCAAAATACCTCATAAGGTCTTTGAGCTTCATGTGACGTCACTTGGGTGAAACTTAATGGTGTGTGACCTGCAAGAGGTCAAACTGGAGGATGTAGCTGGGAGAAGAGCAGTTGGAAAGGAAGCAACTAGGCAAGTTTCTCTCACATCCCGTATGTATATGGGAAGAAGGAGTGCACTGGAAAGCAGCACAACATGCTGAACGTGTCATGAACCCGCTGAACTTCCCTGTCTTTTGTTCCTCGGAAGAAAATACCATCATAATATATCTGTCTAAACAAAAGCAAATAGACTTGCCATTTAAATAAATAAATTTCTGTGTTGTAATTTATATCTAAATCGGTTTTGGTCTTTATTTTCAGAGTCTTTTTAGGAAGACTCACATGATTGTTTGAGGGAGCCAGTGTTACAAGATCAGTTGTGAAACACTATTTATTTTTATTAGCCCTGGCAAGGATTTTCAATTTCAGTTTTTGTGCTGTCTGAGGAATATTGCTTGAGATGACAGAGAGCAACATTTTATATGCAGCTCAGAAAGGAGATTAGAAGCTTAGAGGGAAAATTAGTTGTGTTTTTCTTTTTTTTAATCTGATTGATTTATAGTGAAGAAGTAGTTAATTCAAACACGTCAACATCGTATGTGGCTTTTTGCTACAGCTGTATCCCCACAGCAGACAAACAGCTTTGGAACTTCTGGTTTTCAGCAGTGAGTCTTTGACAGCTGTGATGCATTTTGCTTAGAGGAGTAGATCTTGTCCACTCCAAATGAGGAGGCTGAGATGATTTTCAGAATCATTTATCTGATTTTTGTTTTCTCTTTTTCTTTCCTCTTTTAATTACTGTTGTCCTCTCTGTCTTACACAAAATGACTGTGTAATTCATGCCCTTACTGCAATCAGCCAGTTCTTTCACGTTCACATTTTTAGTGTTGGCAGGTGCTTGCACTATCAGTGCTGAAGTCCATGTTGATATATATTTGAATTTGTCATCAGACCTTTAAAATTAAAATCCGGTGTGATTAACTGCAAATTAAGCTTTTACATACAAATGAGATTTGCCATTGTAATTCCTGAGTTCGTGAGGGGATCTTGAAAGCAGATTGTTGACGTAGTGCAGAACCAGTCCTCAGTAATATATGTGATTACAGCGATTACAGGTTAGATTTAAAAAGAGGACATTGAGTGCCTCCGAGTCCAGAACAATTTGAAGATGTAGCTCGTGTAGTTTATTCATGCACTGTTGTTTTTGGAAGGGTTGCATGACTGTCTCACGACTTTTAATGTCACTTTATTGTGTCTAATGTCTTGCTTTCTGTCTGAGGTCTTACTCTCCAGGAGTTTATTTTGGCCTTGTAGCTGCTGTATTTGGTTGAATAATGATCATAGAATCATAGAATATTAGGGGTTGGAAGGGACCTCTAGAGATCATCTGGTCCAACCTCCCTGCCAGAGCAGGATCCCCTAGGGCAGCCACACAGGAACACGTCCAGGCGGGTTTTGAAAGTCTCCAGAGAAGGAGATTCCACAACCTCTCTGGGCAGCCTGTGCCAGTGCTCTGTCACCCTCACAGTGAAGCCGTTTCTCCTCATGTTGAGGTGGAACTTCCTATGTTCTAACTTAAACCCATTATTCCTTGTTCTGTTACTGGGCACCACTGAGAAGAGATTGTCTCCTTCCCCTTGACACCCACCCCTCAGATATTTATAAACGTTAATACGGACCCCTCTCAGCCGTCTCCTTTCAAGGCTAAACAGCCCCAGTTCTCTCAGTCTCTCTTTGTAGGAGAGATGTTCCAGTCCCTTAATCATCATGATGGTGACTATCACATATCCTCATGTGAGGAGTTTACCATCATCGAGAGAGGCTGTGGAGGAGCTGCTGCAGCCGGTGGGATGTGCCAGCCCAGGTGTCTCATTGATTTCAGGAGTTAGAAGCTGTGTCGTTCTGCCAACAGGCTCAACACAAGCCAGTGACAAACATTATTTTTGGATTTCAGTTTTTATTTTAAAAATAAACACAGAGCATAGGATTAGCATAGTTTGTTCCATTATAAGATAGCCATTTATTAAAAAAGGATCACATAAGCTCTTACCATTTTTATTTTGTTTTTCTGCTGTCTTGCTGTATTATAAGGCAGCTAAATAGACTTTGAATTTTAACAGTATCTATAATAGGTGAGTTTGATTTTCTAGACAAGTAACTATTTCCAGGAAGGCCTGATGATGTAATGACCTGTATGGAAGAGACTTCTTAGAATTAATCTTCTAACTTACAGAATTTCAGTTTCTGAGGTTCTCTTTATCAATATCTTTTATTGCTTATTTCAGAAATTGATATTTGCTTTTACTTAGAAGTGCAGTTTCAGGTTGTTGAATTCATCAGCTAAGGAATTTTAATTTTTTTTTTCTTCCAGTTTCCATATAGATAATTTTTTTTTGTTTGTTTGATTTGCGTAGTTTTGTCTTCAGGAACTGAGGCGGCAGTTTCCTGGAAGCCACAGAGTTAAACGATTGACTGGAATGAGATTTGAAGCTATGGAAAGGTAAAACACAAATGTTTAAAAAACTAATTTCTATCTGGGAGGATGCTTGCTATTTTTTAAAAAGGAATTCAGGTGCTATAGAAACACGGTGTAGCAATGCTGGGCAGTTTCTTTACAGAAAGTAATGATGTGCTTGATCATGTTATAATATTTAGACATTTTTGTTGCATTTTTGCATGTGCTATACAGTGTTACATTTCTGAAATCTTCCCATTGGACTTTATAGGTTAAAAAAATCTCTCACTGGACAACAGAAGACATTATACAGTAGAACACTAGTCACTTTTTTAACAAAGTCTGAGAGGTATACGTTTCATCTCACAGAGCTAGAGTAGCATATGAATATCAGAGCCAGTGGGTTTTATTGCTTTTGTTATTCTTCTATGCTCCTAATTGCTGTGGGTTGTAGCTCTTTTCCCTTATTTTTTGAGTGTGTATAAATCAAGTAGAACTTAAGGATTAAATCTACAGAGTTGGTTATAGAAAAAACTTGAAAAACATATGGAATAGAATGGCAGAACGTGGAAGTCAAACTTTTTGAAATTACCTATAGAAGGATTATAACATACCAAGTTTAACAGAAATTATTAAAACAATGAACATCTTAAAACCAAAGTTTTCCAAAAGGAATGACCTCAGAGCTTGAGCTTGACCTTTATTGTCCACGTTTGTCCTTCGGATGCCTCTTTGATGTCACCATTCTGTTCTGAGCATTTCTCTTTGTTCTTGAGAAGGACTTCCAGCTTCCAGTGCCTTTGAATGCTGGCAAATAGATGCTGTGACACGTTTTGCATACAGAGTGGGTGAGATTCAGAGCTTTTGGGCCATCTTGATATGAAGGAGTTGGAACTGAGACATAAACCCCTAAATGCTTTTTTTTGGGGTAATTTATGTGTTTATCAGATGTCCTTCATCCTTGCAAAATTAACTTTTAAGGTGTTATTTCATATGAGCCACCAATACATGTCTGTTGCTTGGATCAAAAAGAGTAGACAGCCAGACTCCACAGCCACAGAACAGTTGGGGCAGCTAGGTGTTACACATTCTCGTTATATCCAATACACATATGTGAAGAATTTCCATTAAACTTAGCTCTCCTTCTGCCATTGTTTGATGTAGCATAGGAAGACAGAGAATGGCAGCAGATTTTGCCCCCTTCCCAAAGCCTGTTCAGAAGTGCAAAAGATCGTAATTCTGTTCAGGCTCATGTAACTGCATTAGAGATGTTACTGCATGGGAGCAGATCTTTGTGGGAGGTGAGTGCTGCATAAACGTTATGTGTTGTTTCAGCACTGAAGTGAGATTGAGCCACAGTTTTCCAAAAGTGCTCATGAAAATTCATGACAAAATATCTCTTGTCAGATTAGAACCTTGAGATTGGAATATCAGGAGCAGAGGCATTTATAAAAGCTGGGGTTTCGTCTTTGTAGATTTTCTCTAGAAGTCAGAGGAGTGAGGGGATTCAGTTGTTATCTTGAACAGGAATCCATCTGCACGCGCTCTAAGCCATTCCCTTGGAGAATCCTGTCCTACTCCACTGACTATAACTGAAGCCTACGGAAACTTAGGCTGAAGAGATCCCATTTTCAGTTGAAGAAGCGAGAATCATAGAATGGCCCAGGTTGGAAGGGACCTTAGGGATCATCTAATCCAACCTCCCTGTCATGGGCAGGGACGCCTCTCGACTAGATCAGGTTGCTCAAGACCTTGAACGCCTCAGAGGAGGAGGCATCCACAGCTTCTCTGAACAAGTTATTCCAAAGTCTTGGCACTCTCATACTGAAGAATTTTTTCCTAAGATCCAATCTAAATCTGTTTTCCTTTAACTTAAACCCATTTCACCTTTTCCTATCCATGGATGTTTTTGTAAAAAGACCCTCCCCAGCCTTCCTGTATGTTTCCTTCAGGTATTGGAAGGCTTCTCATGAAATTCTAAGTGAATTCTAGGAGTTGGTAAGATCCTGCATTCCCCAGCAGGAAGAGGAAGTTATGAAGAACATCCCCAAAGATTGAGACATCTTTGTAGACACTTTCTAATAAATAAAATAGTATTCTGGAACTTCACTGTGTAAAGCTGGAATTCCAGCTATCACGTTCAATCTTATAAAATATATTAGATAAAGTAGCAAGTAACAGAGAACACGAATACACCATTCTGCAGCACGGCTGCTACATGCTCAAGCATGTAGCAGTCACCTTCTTATGGTTTATCGTAACTGGACTGGAGAGCTGAGGTATGCTCATGTCAGCAGAGCTTGGGGAGCAGTGAGGGTATGTAAATGGGTGTCCAAGGTGAGAAAAAACCCTTATGTAGTGATGGTGGAAAACATTTTCTTTCAAGATTTATGGTAGGAGTGGGCTTTTGTGGGAATCGCCCCATTTTACTGTATGTGTCTGCTTGTGCTTTATAAAATCATAACAGGAGAAACTTGGATGAAGTTTTAAATTACAGTGAAGTGAAAAAAGTCATTATTGGGGCTGTCTTTTCAAATTTTGTAATTGTGTTTTCTTTGGGAAAGGTGAAAGGGAGAGTTGGGATGTGGTGGTTGGACCTATTGGGTACAGAGAAAGAGAGAACAAATAGGAGAGCAAGAAATTGGGTGTGAAATATATCAAGTGGCTGCTGAAACGGTATTCTATGAAGCATTTTTTTAACTTGGTGACATGAAATACTGCTGTTCATATTTAGCACTCACTCAAGAGAATTTATATAAATACAATTTGCTAAGTATATTCAGCATAAAAAGTGTGGGAGGGTTTTTAACTATGTCAAGGGCAGTAAGAAAGTTGAGAGTTCTCTCAGCAGAAATAAATGGGACTCATTTCTTTGAACAGGTATGATGATGCTATCCAGTTATATGATAGAATTTTACAGGAAGATTCAACTAACACAGTAAGTTTAAAAGATTTTTCTGGAGTGTGGTGATTTCTTGATGGAAATTGTCATAACATATTGTGTGCTTCAATGTGTGTCTGTTACTTTGTTTCCTTCAGTTTCTTAGAATAATAATCTATGTTGCCTTCCTTAGACAAACGAGACTCATTTCCCGATGAGAAGCATGTTGTAATACCTGCTGAAACACTGAATTTAGAAGACAGGATTATAAGTAGCAACTTTTCCAGCAGTCTTACTAGGGTTGAGGTTGGGCCTTTCAGCTTTTCCATTGAACCTGAATATTCAGTATTTAAAGAACCAATATAGTCTGCCGTGTGTCTTCTGTCTTCCTAATGCTTAATCTCACTTACAGATTAAATATGAATTCACTCAGGTAGTGCTTGAGTAGCAGTTATTTTGATTTATTGTCTGGGACATTTTACTAGCTTTTAAATTGGAATACTGTAATGCTTGCCAATCGTATAAAACAAAATAGGACACATCTTTTAAGTATTTTTGAGTACTTGTTGTGTAAGTGACCTTGAACTATTAGTTGCCAAAATGAAAGTCTGAGGAAACTTGTAGCAATATGTTTTCGTACATTCTTTCCCACAAGGATAAAGCTAGAAACATGAGGAAAATACGGAGTTCCCAATTTTTATATGTTGTGTTGTAAAGCCAGTTAATTATTGTTAATTGTTCCTTGTTTGAAGGTGTAATTTGCCTGTGTTACTTGCTTTCAAGGAACTGGTTCTCTTTATTGGATAAACCTCTATGTAAATGTAATACTTGGGCTATTGCAGATGTTTTGGTGGTCTCACGCAAACTTTCCTTGGTGCATTTTCTATCTCTGCCTTCTTTCAGTCAGCTGGTTTGATATCATCTGCTACTCAGGAGGGGGAAACCCACAGAAACACAGATAACTGGGTGTAACTAGGGTATGCCAAAGCTGGATATAGATAAAGTGCCATCGCTTCACTAAGAAAACCATTAAAAAAATCCGACGGAACAAATATGAAATCCCCAACAACCAAAAACCCACTTAAAACCACCAAACCAGAAAATGGTTTTCAAGGCAGTGCATTAATACCAAGTTAAGTACGTGGACGACAGTAACAGGTTAATGTCTGTGTCTTTTATCGGTGAAAGAACTCGTATATTTTGTGCAAGGCTAAAACCTTCTCTCGTTATTTCTTTGCTGTCCATAGAGCAGTACTAGTTCTGTGAGACAGATGTAGGCCATCTGCAGTTGTCCTTGGAAAATACATAGCGTGTTTGAGTAGAAGTTTGAGCACAAGGGTCATAGCTGTCTGCAGCAAATGTCGATGGATTTTACCAGTGCATGGCCCAAAGAGTTTCAGAGACATGAAGTCTTCAGAGTCATGTTAAAACAAGATGGAGCTCATCCGCAGTGGAGCCAGAAGAATAGGTCACCTAGGTGCGTGTTTTATGAGCTTTTGTTGAAGCCAGAGGAAAACGGAGCACCGTATTATGGTGACTTCTGTGAACCACAGATCTTTGACATGTGCATTTTTGGCGGTTTTACTCTTCAGCTGTCTCAACATGGCTAACGTCATCTGGGTGGTTTGCTGGGTAGTTATGTAGACCAAAAGTTTTAACTAAGTAATATGCTTGACTGTACCTGATTTGAATTTCCTCCTTACTAAAATCATAAAGATCTATAAAATGATAATATTTAGAAGCATAAGATGTAAGTATTACAACAGCTACATGATCTATTGCATTTCTAAAGATCTGAGGTTCCTTGCTGTATGACTACAGAGTAGGCTGGCTAAGCCTTGCATATGAAGAGTGAAAGTTAAATAGAAGGTTTTGATAAATTGTCCTGTGCAGATTTCTTTGTGTCTTTCACCTGTTAATTATTTCCATGCACACATGTGGCTGCTGTAGGAAAATAAATATTTTGAGATTTTAAAAAAGAAACTCTTGCTGAGTTTGTCTTGGCACTCACCTTGCCTTACAGCAGTTTCCTCTGGTTTGCTGACACATGGAGTTGCTTGTATACGGTAAAGGTTTGGGCAAGTGCTGTAGGTGAAACAGACATTTCTTCACAAGAATCATGTAAAAATCATCACCTGACAGGTTCAAATAGAAGCGTGGAATAAGCTTTTCTAAAAAATTACTTATTTTAGACAACTGCCAGACTTTTTCGTGATGAAGAATGAACTTTGAACTCAGATTAAGCAATGGACATTTACACTTCCGCCCAATGTTTTGTTGCATGCAAAACTCTGAAATCAAGATAACAGTAGTCATTTTATTTAGTTTCTTAGGACAGAATGCAAAATGCACACTTTTAAAAGGTGATCATCTCAACGTTTTATCTTGCTAGGAGGTTGCTTACTGAAAAAGATGACTCATTTGACAGTAGAGCAATGTTAATGTTGTCACTTCAGAGATCGTGTTTCGTTTTTCAAAGCATGGAGGTGTTGCGTAAGACTCTCTCCCTTCTGTAAGGAGTTTAATGAATGAAATGTGATTCCTGTGAAAAGCACAACTTGTGTGCCTTTTAATAGGGTAAGAATGGGAACCTTTTCCAGTCTTTTTCAGTTTGGTTGAATTGAAGATGTCTGAGAGCTGTGGCTGGCAGATCACTCTGTTACTAGGGCTGCATAATGTTTTCCATTTTAGGGACTTTGTTATTAATTGAAACTTACTGCAGCATCCAATTGAAAACCTTTATGCTGGTGTCAAACAGTGGCTGAGTTGTTTGTAGGTCTTCAGATAACATGCTTAGTCTGTTTCTCAAAGCAAAATAAGGGGGACACTGGTTTTTTTTAGGAGGCTTGGTAGAAAGGACTTTTTTGTTTGGTTTTGCTGTTAATAAATTTCATTGAGAAATCTTCATCCTGCTCTGCTTTGGAGGGAGGCCTTGGATACCAACAGGAAAAGAGCTCTTGGTAGAATGCAGCTTTTATTATGCTATGAGAAAAACACCCCAACTGTCTCAGCATTTGAAAATCTTCACTTCAAGTTCTCAGTAGAGCCTGGTGGAATTTTTATTAAATACATCTTAAAATCCCATTTGCTTTGAACGTGATCTACCTCAGGCTACAGAGACTGAGCAGGACTTCTTTGCAGTTGCTCCTCATGGCTGTGGGAAAGAGGCAGAAACTGGAGAGATTCCTTTCTTTTGTGAGTTGCACCCAGGTGACGAGCAGGAGAAGGAAAAAAAAATGTCCAAAAGGAACAGAGTAGAAAGAGAAGGAAGCAGAACTGTGAGGACTGAAAGAGAGAGAGGCAGGTAGTGGAGGATCTGGTCAGATGTAGGGGAACAACGGGCTCGTAGACTGGGTAGGAGATCAAAACAGAGGGATTTGTGTTACCATTTAAGTCTTAGATGGTGGTGGTTTTTTCTTCTGTAGAAATTTTTTTTAAAAATCACATTTTGCCTTTAGACACTGTGTTTTCTACTATCAGTAAACAGCTTTGAGACTTACTGGTGAAATGTCTCTTATTACCTGTAGTACCTGCTGTGTGTTAGTTCCATCAGTAACTGTTCTAGCTCGAACAGTGAAGGCATGTACCCTGTGAATGCTGCAAGTAACCAAACTTCTGGTTCTGCAAGATGAAATTTTTCTTCTTTCACTAAAGAAAACCCAGGTACACTTCAAATGTTTTGGACGTAAGGCTAAATGCTCGAGCATGCTACTTTAATAATGGCAGAATCTGCCTGCTCGTGAAATGCCTGGTAGTCTTCTGAAGTATGGAGTTACTGTTATGTGTATCCTTTGTAAATTCAGATAGTACGATGGCTAAACTATATATTTCTGCAGTATGAAATGTGATGCAACATGCGAACTCCAGGCATTTTTAAATTGCAAGTTGATCTTCACAGTGTTCTTGGTGTTTTTGTTAGTGGTCAGGATACTGCATTTAGGCTTATGTTTTCGATGGATTGCTTTTGTAAAATTCAGTAGAAGATTTGCATGAAATTGATACATCTGTATTTTCTATTTGATACGTAACTCCTCATTTCTTGGAGTGGGGCTCATAGGTAAGAACATTAACAAATGGTAGAAAATGTTTCTTTTTTTCTCTCATTTGTCCCACAGCAGCCATGTTGAGATGAAATAGTACTGACATTTTACGTATGGGGAGCAGATGGAGCTCTGCAAAATTATTTAGGACTTGGTTCCTAAGCAGGCAATTAAGTGTCTTATTTTGCTATTGATTTCAGTTCTATAATGAATATTAAATGAGGAATTTTGTAAACTGTGTATGTCTGCATCAGATTACGTTGAATGAATGTCTTTTTACATTACTTTACCCTGACAAAGATTCTACTTTTGAGCAGCAATTTGAATGTAGACCCGTCTTTTTAATTAGATAGATAAATGTTTTTGTCAGTTGAGCCTTTTTCAAGGTGGCCTGTCCACCTTGAGAAGAAGATTGATGATGAGAAAGGAAATTTTGTTCCTGTGTTCAAGACTTAGGTTGGTGCTTGACTCGCTCCACTGTCAACTTTGTGCACCTTCAGCATCTCTAGATTCTTCAACTCAACCATCAAGAAGATTGCAGAGCGCTTAGTCAGCACCAAGGGAAAGTGAGATAAGGCACAAAGTTCTGCCTTAATTCTAATCCACAGAAAATCCGATGTCTTTATTGGATAATTCTTCTACTGTTTTCCTTGCTGCTTTTTCTGCTAAGCTTTTAATACAATAAGAGACTGAATACGTTTGTTAGCTTAGGGCATGTGGATAATCTTATTAGCTTCATGGGTCCAGTAATATAGTTATGTGAGTGAGGAATTAAAAATAAGATTTTTCAGGACAAGATAATGTCTTGGGTCAAGCTGTTGTCTTTCAGGGTTCATAAAATACTTCACTAACAACTCTTGTTTATGGGAGGGGACAGGAACAAGTGTATGCATATGGTCACATTGAGTTACAATTTCCCATTCTGTTTTGAGATAATTTTTCTAGCCAAGCTGGACGTGTTTCAGGAGAGTCACAGGAGGTGGCTGAAGACATAAGGGAATCCAGATACTAGAAAGATTCAGAGCAAAATCTTAGTACTTGGTATCATGTAAATAGGCAGCAATTATGTATCATGAGTATCTCACTGAATATCTGAGTTCATTCTACCTAGCATCTCTTTCACTGTTCATAACTACCATCTTGACTGTATAGATGATTTGTATGTCCCCAGTTCTACATCTCTGCTAAATAAGAAGAGAATAATGAGCACTAAGTCTGAGCACTGGGTAATGTATCAAACTCTTAGGCCAAATGCATGTTTTCTAAAGTGCTAGGTCTTTGATAAAAACAAATTTAAAAATTCAAAGAATTTCTTTTTAAGATGCAAAATACAATTTAATCCAGAAGCAATTGTACAGACAGGAAATCGTTCCTTTCTATGAGGTGTCAGTCCCTGAAAATTCTCCTGCTAATACTTTATTTGCAACCATGAAACGCAGAACAATTGTAGGTATTCTCTCTTGGTAAGTTTTACTAATCAAAGGCAGAAATTGGTAAATGCTCAACACCTCACTTCATTTTGGCTTTACTTAATGCTAGTTAAAAATAGCCATGGCAAATGGAAGATTAGTTCTTGTGCCACATCGGGCATTATTAGCCTTGAAAGAAATACCTTAGAAAGATTCACTGTGTAATAAATATGGGACATACTGAAGTACCTTAGTTCATGTGATACTGATCACAGCATAAGTGTTTCTTTAAGATGGCATTTATCTTTTTGTTAAGAATACTGGATTTACAGAACCAGCCAGTAAGCATTGTAACATTATGCTTGACACTCTGGAAGACTGATAGGGGGAATTCCATCTCATAGGTTCTGCATGGTCGGACACTCCACATCTTGTTGCAGCGCTGAAAGATTTGTCTTCTCCTTTTAATTTAAGGTGGAAGGAGAAAGGAGATTTGCGTTCATTCTTGTATCAGTCTTGTTCTTAAAAGTGACATGAAGAACCAGAATGTCATGCTTGAACTTTATTTTTTATCTTTAGTAACGCAGTTGTTACAGGTATTCTGGTATGCTCTGTAGATTTCAAAATTATCACAAATCTTGCAGTTAAAAATAAGTTTCTTATGAATATTCCTAGTGGACTTGAAATTAATGATTGAACAGATTTTTACACCGCATTTTGCAGTTTTTTGGTATCTTACAATAGGTCCCCTAAAAATGAGCTTATATTTTCAAATGTGAGATTTTTACTAAAAAAGGAGTCTCTCTGATAAAGTGGTTGGTTGTGATTCGTGGTGGCAGCAGTTCTGCACAGTAAAAGTTTCTGTTTAATTTGATGGGAAGAAAAATTGATGCTGTGTGTGTAAATTGTCCTTAGTTATGCCACTTTCCTCAGGATGCTCAGTAGACATAGTGAGTGTGAGCCCCAGGGGCAAGAGAAATTAGAATAAGATTTAGAAGTTTACAGCACACAGAATGGCGCATGTCTTGGTTTTAGTGCAAGCCTTTTCAGGTATGTTTTTCTTAAAGCATTGGAGTAATTGAATTTCAACTTTTATATTTCATCTTAATTTTAAATAGTGTTTATGACTCAAAGAAAAGCTAGAAAGTCAAATGGGAGAGTAATATGTTAATACAGATAAAAGCAATAGTAGTTTGTTTTTGTGTAGTTGTTGTTTGGTCTGCCTTGTCATTCCTATGGAGTCACAGATCTGAATACTTCAGATCTGCTGAACGTTTTTTTGTATGTATAATGCATTCAAAATATTCATGTTATAATTTTATTTACGTGATGGAAGAATGATAGTAAATGCTTTAAAAACTCCCTACATTCTCACTGACTTCTTCCCAGCTGTTTTAAAAAGACTTTCAAAACTTCTGTGCTACTATGTGACATTTTGTTCATCCTCTGAGTGTCAGCACTGTTTTCAGTGGCTGAGCCTCTTTTTTGTAAACTAAGAGTCCTCTGTAAATAAACTTGTCCCGGCATTTTTGAAGGTTTATTTGAAAGTGAGGAGAGTGCAGATTTCAAGCCCAGATGCTGCTTTACTTTTGGTGCTAAGGAAGGTGGATAAACAATGAGGTTTTGTGTACTATTTTTCCTCAAATAAGAAACAAAAAGTGTAATTTTGAAGAGCTGTTGTGGGATTCAGTGCAGTTCAGAAGCAGATAAATTCTGTCAAATATATATGTAATTCATAAGTGCTACCATCAGAATATGTTAATTATGTCTAATCCTTTTAGCCTCATTATTTGATTGCATTAGATGACATGCTTGATATAGGTAGACATCAGTTTGTATTAGTGACTAGGAATAGTTCTAGCTTTTCATGAAAGGTTCCAGTTATTTATGTTACTTGAGAGTGCTGTGGTTCAGAAATAGAGCAGCCATAGAGAAAATCTGTTTCCAGAGACTTTTGGAGGACTGACTTGCATGCAATTGAAGGAGTTGCATTAGAAACAAAAAACGAGGGTGGTTTATATAGACTGTTCCTGTTTAGAAGTTAAAGTTGTCAGGTGCATAGACTAATTTTATATATTAAACAGGTTATTCTGGTTCTCAAGCAGTTTACTTTTGTTCAGTCTTTTGATTGTTTTTTCCTTCAAATTTTGAAAATAACAACTGAATTTTTAACCCAGAAAGTTACATTTGAAAGGAGATAATCTATTACCTGAACAAAACACTTCTGTCTTCTTAAAGGTGTAATTTGGTGATACACTCCTTTGACAGCACGCACCGTTACCGCTGCTTTCTGTTCTTTCACGTTCCAGGCTCGGTGAGGCAGGGCACTGGGCTGTAGGTAATACCAGCCTTGGGTAGGGTGTTTTTAACACTGCCCTGGTGTCCCCAGTGTAGCAAGGATGCTGACCTGCTTTACAAACTGCTTTGGGATCTCTTCATAAAGTACAATATAGAACAGTAGGTTTGAGTTGGGTTTGTTTTTTTGTTTGTTTTTTTTTGTTGAGTAAGAGTAGCAACACGATAAGCATGTGGGTTTATTACTTAAAAAATATTTAATTATGCTGTTATTTTAGAAAATCAAAGACAAAATAAAGAGTATGTATTATTGTTATTGTGATAAATGTGGTCAGCAGTTAAAATTTCCAGAGTCAGTTATGGCTTTTAGCTAAATGTCTCCCAGTAAAAGCAAATTGATGAAAGTAACTTCACAGGTTGCCATTTGTCAGAGAAGCAGTGGAAAGGAAAATGGTTGTGGGTAAACCTGCCACCCTGCCTGTTTTCTAATTTGTCTCCTGATTCTGCTGATGAATATTCTCTCTGCTTGTACCTTACATTTAGGCAAAAGAATGTTTTTTCCTCACTTGAGTTATTTTCAATGAATTTTCACTGAATATATGTTTGTGGGGAAGGTGAAGGGGATAAACTCAAAGGAGAGAATAAACCTATAGTTACTGTTGGAAGCATTTCTAGCTGTGTTGTTTGGTAGGTTGAACTAGTTTACTTAAATGTTACACTCTCCTCTTCCTCCGCAATAATTAATTTGTTCAAGTGCTGGTCAAAGAATAAGAATTTTTTTAAGTGAAGAATTATGTTTAAAATACTGTAAAAATACAGGAACTCTTGGGATACATGTGACTATGATCTTAGGAAGGTGCATCATGAAGAAACTGATTTCATAGCTACCTTAAGTTCAAAGATTAAAATAATTTAAGGTTTTGTTGAAGAGTTGTCCTTCCGTGTGCCTTCAAGTCTTCTGTAAGGTGATACGTGACTGTAACTGCTTTAGAAGGTGTGAAATGGGATAAGAGCTATGAGAGGAGTAAGCACTGGGACTCGGTTCCTGGAAAGTGTGCTTTTTTATTAATACTGCCTCCTGGAGAAATGGCGTAGAAGTGTGTGTGTGTACGCAGGGACACATCACGCACACCACACCATCTGTCTTCTCGTGTCTGACCACAGCGGCTGCGATGGCCCAGGAGAGCAGGGGTTAGAGGCGAGGCAGGAGGCTGAGGGCGTTGATTCCTTGAGGCACGTTAGGCTGGAATTTGGTTTTGCTTTCAGTCCGTCAGATTCGCGATCTGATGACTTTCAGGCTGTTCGACGTGTAGTGCTATGTGCTCCAAACTCTGTCAGTCTGCTGGGAAGATGTCCCTTGTTTTGGATTACACCTCAAGTGTATCTTTATTCACTGCTCCTAGAGGTCTGAAAACTGCTTTTAGAGCTCTATAACCATCATGCTTCAGAACCTGGAATATTGGGTTAAAGTACGGAATAATTAGCTATTAATATTCTGAGCATCTTTTCTCATGGTGGTCTTTAACAGCTGGTATGGTGTTCAGATTTAAAATACATTGTAATTATTACAACTTAGGTTTATATTTTTCATGGTGAAACACTTTTTCTACCCGCATATCGAAGTACTTTCCTCTGTTTTGCCATTGAAAAGGCTGTTTTGTGTTCCCTTTACTTTGAAGAGCCTACTTTGTGCTCCAGGAGTGTTGAGAGACTTATGAAATTGGTGGGTATTCAGCATTAATTAAAGATGGCATTCAGCACTCCCAACAAGAATCTCTAAAAATGGCTGAAAGACGTAGTTATCTTGTGGCAACCAAGATGCCTCCATGGGATTCTCTGAGACACACTCGCTATCTCTCCTCTATAGCCATGGATCTTGTGAATGACAAGGTGGGGGTCTTTGGAATAGCTGAAGATTAGCATCCCCCGCTGTTTTGCAATTATCAGAATCTGGACAGTCATTTATTTGAATGAAATAATGCATACAGTTTGTGCCTCCAAAGAAAAGCATATATAATGTGATTGTATTAAGAAGTTTTCAATCTCTGAATGGGATGTCATAGGGTATGTTTATAAACCTCAACCTGGCAGTTGCTCTGCAGTGGAATTCCACTGGTATTGAGACAATAATTTGCACAGTCAAATTGCTTTCTTTACAAAAACCCAGGGAATTATGAGACCCTAATCCTTTATTAATGTCAACCCATAGGCAGCAAGAAAGCGTAAGATTGCCATTCGAAAAGCCCAGGGGAAAAGTCTTGAGGCCATCCGAGAGCTGAATGAGTATCTGGAACAGTGAGTGTCTTACAAGAATGCACATTGTGCTTTGCTATTATGATAAATCTTTTTTAATTAAAATGGAATTTGCATTTGATTTACGCTTTTGCTTCCATGCTGGTCGTTTACAGAATCCCTTGCACATTCTTTCTTTTTTTTCCTTTTTACCTCTCTTGTCTTCTCTATACAGATTTGTTGGAGACCAAGAAGCTTGGCATGAACTTGCAGAACTTTACATCAATGAACATGAGTAAGTTGTTTGCTAAGTCCACATAAAAACTGTTAAATTGAAACCTACTCTGTGGAAGTCAAAGACCTCAGTGATCTGGTTTTGAAGGGCTGGTGTTAGAGTGTATGCCATCTCATTTCCAATATAACAGACATCAACAGGAAATGATTACCAGCCTTATTTGACTACCAAATGCTTTAAGAAGGCATTTGATTTTGAAACAGACACAGTTTACTTAGTTATCTGTATGTTTCAGTCATTTTTTTAAATCTGATACTTTGAAAGAAATTTTTTGAGTGTGGGAGAGAACAGCGCTTATTTCACATAATTTCATTCAAGTGATGTTTTTACTAGTTACAGATTTTAAATTCTTTACGTCTAAAATCACTTGATCACAGCAACTGATACTCTGATATTATTGTAGCCTACATCTGCAAGAACCTTCAGTAACCTTTACAAAACCACAAAACAGAACCTGGATCCAATGTTAGAGGCATCTGGTCGCCTGGGTACAAAACCCAATGCGATCAAGAATGCTGAATGTTGTAGTGACTTGCTTATTGGATATTTAATGTTTTTGTTAGCTTTTTTTTATTGCTGTAGTGACAGGAGGAAATCCCAGTGTGAGAGGATTAGCTCAAAGCCTTAGTGCAAGTTTTCTAATATCACAGCATTAATTCTAACCTCCACCCAAAGGCGTATCTTTTTTTTTTCCCCCTTTTCTTTAATTCTTCAGCCCGGCCTGAATTATATCACATTGTTTCCTTCTTTCCTTTCTGGAGAGTAGTAAAAGAATCAAATTCTCAAGGAAAAAAATAGCCTTTCTCACTGTGATGAAAAAATTGTTCCCCCATCACCTCTCCTTCCACCATATTCTCAAAGAAAATAATTATTAAACTCCTTCAAATGCTGACTTAAGGAATAATCTAGAATGTTGATACCCAGATTTCCATTTCTTTTGGGAAATTCACCAGCCACTTATCCAAGAAAATAGCTATTGGAAAAAAAAAAAAAGGTTAAAAAGATACTTAAGCTTGTCAAACCTGTCCATACGAAAATGACTGATAGAGTGGTGCAAACATACATATTCCATTACTGGTTTGTTGCGGGTTTTTTTGCTATAATCTTTTTTCACAAAATTGTGTAATAAAACCTGAGAAAGAAATTGCTTTTGCTTGTATTTGTCTTGGTCTGTAATTCCAATAAAAAATAATATGTAGAACTTTCTCCAGTTCATTGAAAAAAAATGACTGTGCTCACTGTACTTCTGTGGGCATCATTATTATTATTTTGACGATTAAATGGGGAAAAATTGGAATCTTGACTAAAGTGGAAATAGAAGTTAATTGTTTAAAAAAGGAAGTAATTGGCTTATTTTTTTCATCAGTGTCACAAATTTATTCTTGCTTGCGAAAACGCCATGCTGTTACTGCTGCCCATAAACACAATTTGGTGCACAAAGTTTGTGTGGTCCTTGGTTCATAGAATCATAGAATGGTTTGAGTTAGAAGGGACCTCAAAGATCATCTAGTTCCAACCCCCTGCCATGGCAGGGACACCTCCCTCTGCTGTGTTCTGGCATGAGGACTGCCGTTTACTTTTGGACAATAGATGGCTGTCCTTTTGTCTCCAGATTAATACTGGAAATACTTACGTGACTATCATAATGTGCACAAGGGAGAACCACAGTGTGTTCATTTTGAGAAATAAGGTTTTACAGACTAAGTGGTTTAATAGTGCCTCTTAATTGCTAAATTGCTTTTACTTGGATTTTAAATATCTGCCCACACTGTCATTGTAAACATTGCATCTCTGAATTTTGGAATCCTATCATGTAAGCACTGTGCAACTGTGCTGTCACATATCTGAAGAAGATGTAAATTCTGCAGAAAATACTATTACTTGAAAGATTATGATGGTAAGATTTTTATAATCTACATTTTGAGCTTGACTTCTTAATTCTTTCTGAAAGCTTTCCTTTCAAGAACAAGTACTAGCCTTTTTTTTTTGCAATGAGAAGTGGTTGCCCATTTGGACTGCTGTGATGCTGTTTGCATATATAGACTTGGACTGTTTGATTTTTTGAACTGTTCTTAGTACCTTTTTTTCAGTCTCACTTCTGTGTTGTGAGCAGCTAAAGTTAACCCACAGTGTCAGGGCTCTGGTCTCTGACTTTGTGAATCCTCAGGTAGCACAATTTTCTTGTAGAAAAAAAAGAACTAATTTATAGTCCAAGTTAAATGTCGTTTTATAGTACCTAATGCCTGTTTCTACTCATCACTCCTGTTGATAAGAAGTGGCACTTATTAATAAGAAATGAGTTCATTAAATGCTGTCCATGTTCCATATATACCTAGACTATTGAATTTTGATTATTTTTTACTATCTATGATGTAAAAATAGTCACTTGAGGTTTGAAACATCATTGAAAATTAAAACATTTTTTTTAACTGCAAATCCTGTGAAGTTATGGGGGGAAACTAAGGCTCCTTTTATTGTGCTGTAAGGAGACTGAAGGAAAGAGCTGTATGCCTTGTTTCATTTTGTCACTGGTTTTCACATTCCTCAGCTATGCAAAGGCAGCCTTCTGCTTAGAAGAGCTTATGATGACTAATCCACACAACCACTTATATTGTCAACAATATGCTGAAGTAAGTATTTTCAGAAAAAGCAATTATGTTTGAATACATACTCTGTTTTTATGTTACTGCAGTGGTGAAAATGGCATAAAAATGGTTTCTTTAGTTTTTCCCTAGGAGATTTAAGAGAGTACACAGAGAATGTTGACATCTCATAGAACCTAACGTGTTAAGAAAACTGTGTTTTCTTACTCAGTGTCACTAAGCTAAATATAAGAGTAAGGACAGGAATTATTGAAGATGAAAATTTGTTTCAAATGCACTGTTCTTGTTGAAGTGTTTATACACTTTCCAAATTAAGTGCATAAGAAGTTAAACTTTTCCACAACAATGCTACCTGGGAGGTTATGATATAGTGCCTGTTACTGTGGAGCCAGGTCTTGGAATCCACATGTGAAATTTTTCCTGAAAGAGCACTATGGGGAGAAAGAAGTTTTAGCTCAAGGTTTTTATCTGTTTGTGCTCTTTTTTCAGATTTTTTTTTTTCTAAATTATACAATTAACTGCCTAGAATGGATTTAATTTGTTTTGTCAGTGTGGGTAACATGGAGTAAACATCAAAACTTAAAAGTCAAAGTAGCTTTCTGGTAGAAAGACTTTGAAGCATATATTCCGGTATTTATGCCGCGGTTTTTTGCAGGTGAATAGGAAATGAAAGGCATTGCAGGTTTTTGTAGCAATAAATTAGTTGGATTAATGCCTGCTTTTTTCCTCCTATAGTTAAATACTTGTATATTGCAAAGAGCTTAGATTTCTCCTGAGCCAGTATTTGGCCTTTGGTAGGACACACCTGATTTGAAATATCATGTGACACAAACCTGAAGTGCAGTTTTACATTATCTGTGCTGCAAGAGTGAATGCCTGAGGTATGGATGACATGTGCAAGTTTCAGGAGCGTATTAATTTTTACAGGTTAAATACACTCAAGGGGGACTCGAAAACCTTGAGCTATCAAGAAAATATTTTGCACAAGCACTGAAGCTTAACAACAGAAATATGAGAGCTCTGTTTGGACTTTACATGGTAAGCATGATTGTATTTTTTTTCTGGATTTTGGGGTTTTTTTACTCCAAATACTTCTAAATGCAGTTTTCTACTCTACTTCAAAATGAGTCTTTAGCCTGCACAACATTGTTGGCTTGAATGTGGCCATGACTACAGTAACTATGGGTAGCAAGTACTGACACCAGTTCCTCAAGTTCTCCAAAGACACTGAGGCTTCTGTTGAAGATATTCCTTTAAATACTAGGCCTTAGATATTTTAAAACACCATTCTGAGGGTAAAACCAGAAAGGTTACATATATTACCTTTTTTTTATTTATATTGCTAGGTGACCTTTTTGTCTCTTGGGAAGGAGTTGGTTTACAGAGACAGATAACTGTGAGGCTTCCTGTAAATACTAGGCAATAGGAGCTTCCCTGCAAGGGCTTGTAGGAACCACCTTTAAAATTTAGAGAGACTTGGGCCTAATCTTAGCCCGTCTGCAGAGATTCTTGGTGACTGTATGTTCAAAAAGGATAAAAGACCGTCTCCTTGCTGTTCCTTGGGTCATTTAGCTTTCTGTAGGAAATTGGTTTATTGGCCTAAACTGGTTTTTAAGGTGTGTACACATAGACTTCTGCACTGATTCTGGAACTGGCCTGGGGGTTTATTATGGCCCATCTTGGCTTGTCCTCTGTTACATCTTCCCTCCTGCCTATTGCTTTCAGGTTGTAAAGTAGATTTAGAGCCTCTTATCTCTGATGGTGTGGCCAGAACCTTGAGCTAATATGACCCAAACACATGAGAAACTTTTTGCTTTGACGGTGCCTGAAAGTGGTACGCATAAACTCTGACGTGCACAATGCACGTTAATTACTGCAAAATTGTGTGTGCATTCTGTTACAGTTCTTCAGCTTTATGTGGCTGGCTGCTGTCGTGTTTCACTGGGTTGTTTTTGCAAACACAGCTTGCCATCACTGCTTCTATAGCTACCCTTTGGCTCCTCGTTTCTTTGTAATGCCGTTTCCAAGGTTTAGGGTAGGGTTTTGCCATGGCTGCTGCCTTTGTATTTGGCAGGCATGCCCAGCATTTCTAGTCCCCCAGCTGTGGTAAATTCTTCACAAGGCTTTCAGCTGTATCTGCCGGGGAAGTCGGTCAGTACTTCGTTGAATTCAGGAAACCAGAGAGAATGATGCCTCATCTTAGGACCCTGATGCTGTACTAAATCACAAATTCAATTCATACGAGCGTGGCTTCAGATAATCCATTCCTGGGTTTGTGGGAGCTGCTTCTTTAACAGTCCCACTCCTCTCTCATTTCAGGAGGTGGTTTCATGGAAATAGCTGTAAGGGAACGTCCTTTGAGTTTGAAGTATAGTATTCCTGTAGACATTTATTCCATGCTCCTTTTAAAAATCTTTGCTGGAGGTTCTGCATTGATGGCTGAGTGTGTTTGTGGTTCTTTGCATTCAAGTACTTTTGCACTCAGATATTCTGGGTGTATTAATGATTCCTTCCAAAGTGAATTTATTTATGTAAGCATAAAAGTCTCTGAGATGAGTGTGATTCTTAAGTAATCTTTTTATTTTTTCAGATGAAGGTGGGCATAGTTTATGTATAGAGTTTTACCTACTTTTAAAACGTATTTTCTGATGCCACAGGGAAGAATGCCATGTTTTTAACAGCAGTTTGGACACACAAGTGATCTATTTTCTGTCATGTTTGGTAACAAATTGAATGGGGAAAACTAATTCCTAACTCTCACTTTAGGAGAACAAATTGGATTAGCTGATCACATCCAAGTTTGGTTCCTAACTCGGTACACACTGAACTGGTTTAGTTTAGCTTTAATTATAACAAACAATTGTTTGAAAATTTAGCTAATTCATAATTGGATGTTGTCTAACAGTAAATGGTTTTACTTTTTCTCTTTTTCCGCTATTACTGTACGTGGGGCTCTGAATGCTAAGTCCCGAATGCCGTTTCAGTTTATTTCATGCACATATATTTTTATAATTACCATGGTTTTATTTTTGTTTCCTAGTCTGCCAGCCACATTGCTTCCAATCCAAAAGCAAGTGCAAAAATGAAAAAAGATAATATGAAATATGCCAGCTGGGCAGCTAACCAAATAAACAGAGCATACCAGGTTAGTACTTTGTTGTTTTATAATACTCTTAATATGCTCTGAAGTTCTTTTCTGTGCTTTCATCAACTGCTGTTCAAGAGGTTAGATGTGACGTGCAAATGAGCATAATTTGCTTCGACTTTTTACATTCTACTTGTGTTTGGTTTCCTGGATGCCTTATTTAATATAAGATTGATATTTTGCAGTTATTAATTAGTATTCTTTATTCCACTAGCTTCAAACAGGTTTTTCTTTTCTATCATTAACTGAGTGTAATGACCTTCAAGACTCAGTTCTGCAGCTAAGTATTTTAGTAAAACTTGGTGTGTCTTAATTCTTAGAGTGACTCGGTCATCTACATATATTTTACTAGAAAACAAACGGGTATTATAGAACTTTATCTTCTTCAGTTTATTTGACTTTTCAAAATTATATTTAATGGTGTTGCAAATAATTATCTTAGTAATTGTGACTGAAGTTGTTTTTGCAGTTTTGTAGGAAAATGCCTGTTGAATTGTGAAAATGCAGACTTTATAGTCCACAATCAAAGCTTACTGAAGTCATTAAGAGTCTTTTCAGCTATTTGAAAAGTTACGCATAAGCATCTCTATTTGCTTTTGTATTGTAATCCTCTATATTTTTTCTACATACAAAACAGGTTTTAGCTCATAGGTTCTGCTGTCTGTGCATCCCAAATGTAGCATGGCTATCTGACCCCCTTAGAGCTATTTTTTATAATCTGCCAATCAAAGTTTATGTATAATTAATCCCAAACATCAACATCGTACTGTCCAGGACTCCACAGAACTTTTTCTGAGGGAAAATGTTTGTATTAAATGCAAAGATTTATATACATGTAATGCTCCTTTTTCTCTGTAATATATGATAACAGAACCCAATATGTAATTTTTTTCTTGCTGCTCCTGTTTCACAGTTAATACTACCAAATGGCCTTTTGACCATCTCCATCCATTACGGAATTTAAATCAGGATTTTCTTTTGTGGCCAGTCCATGGCCAGGAGTGCCGCTCCTGGTAGCTGATGTGTTTTTGATGTTTTACAACTTCAAAGTATTTTTCATTTTCCCCTATAGCTTCTGACTGTGCTTCACAGTGAAGAATATTCTATCCCTGAGGACATAATTAAGCATTTTATACCTGTGTGCCTAAAGTTTATTTCTCTATTTTGATGTTTAAAGGACCTGACTGTTTTTCATTAGTAAACCATTTACCTGCTCATGACAGTAAGGGTTGTATGAATTGCCAGCTTGGTCTGATTTGCCATAAATAAGCAGATCTTCCTTTGGCTTCAGTATGTCTGACATTCCTGCAAGCGTAACATTGATGAAAAACCCAAGTATTGCAGGATTAAAATAGAAAAAAAAAGAAAAAAACCCCATTGAAACAAACAAACAAAGACGCCCCAAAACCATCTTGAAGAACAGAATACTCAGTGGGTTTACCACTTATAGAACAAAAGAGGTTTTAAAAGATGTGTGAGTTTTGAATGAAGACTATTATTCCATGTTTTACATCTTAGTAAAATGAACTGCTTAGATTAGAGGGGTTTTGAACACATGTTTTAAGTGAATATTATGACTGAAATTCCCAGTTCAAAGCACCAGCACTGACCTGTTCGCACTTCTGGGCAACAGCCCCTTTCAGGGTGCGTCAGGATGAAAATACAAACCCAGTGTTAGCTGTGGAATGGTGGCATACCAAGATTAATACCTAGAAATAAGTATCTACTAGTTCTAACTGTAAGGAAAGTTCAGTTATGAGAATTTGTAATTAATTGACTCACAGCCAAATAAGTTTGCCTTTTTTTTACTCCCCCCCTCCACGTGGCTTTCTGTTTACAACACAATATCTCTAACAGCATATGGCTTGTATTGGGAATATTGGTGATACTGGGGTTGTGTCTCTGTGTGGTTTTTTATTTTTTTGGGGGGGGGGCTGGGGATTTTTGTGTTGGGTTTGGTTTTTTTTTGCTGGGAAGTGCAATTCCACCATTTCTGTGAAGCTCTTTTCAATCCTGCATTAAACATATTTGGTTGATGCTTGTCGGAACAGATCACGTTAACACAACTAACGCATTTAAAACACGTTATGACTTCTTTGTGGCTTCATGCTTTTGTGATACGTTGCGTACTTCAGATGCTCTCTTTAGGTGTTTCGGACATAATGTGACAAACACGGTATCTGACTGGAATTGTGAGGGGGAATTAAACTATACATAAAATGTAAGTGCTCGAGATAGGATTTGGCAAGGAGATGACACTGACACCCCCTTCCCCCTCACAGAAGTACCACAAGGAAGAAAGTGGTTGAGTCGCCATCCCTGGAGGTGTTCAAAAAACATATAGATGTGGCAGTTGAGAATATGGTTTAGTCATCATGGTAGTGTTGGGTTGACGGTTGGACTTGATGATCTTGGAGATCTTTTCCAACAGTAGTGATTCTATGATTCTGCGATTCTGTGAGAAGCCCCAGTGACTACAGTTGGATGGGGCTGCCCCAGCCCAAGCCTGCTGAGCTCACTGGATGTCTGCAGAAGGATTTGGCACTTCTGTCACAGACTTACACCATCCAAGTGCTACAGCAGATGGGTTTGGCGATGTAGTAGGTGACCGTTTCCCCAGTGAGTCCATATTGATTTGTTTCTCCCTTCAGCGTCGTTAGCAGTTAGAAGTTGTCGTCTTTTGGACCTAGGGCTGAAACTGTGGTCTCATGTGCCAGTGGAAGCCCTTACAGCATTCCTCCATTGGTGGGGTGTTGTCTAGCCGAGTTTTAAGCTAGATGGTTGTATTTTCTCTGTAAATCCTCCCCACTTTCCTTGCAGTATCCAAAGTGCTTTGTAAAATGTAATAAGAACCTTAAGAGCCTGTTAAGTTTGGCATTAACTTGTTTTATTTGTTGGACCTTCTTATACTGTTAAGTGCATTTTTTTCCGGTAGTTGTGTTGTAGGGAATAAGATGCATTTAGATTTCTGACTTGGGTATCTAGATAAATGATACAATGTTGTGACTTTAAGAGATGGAGTTATTAATTAAAAAAATTACTCTGGAGCAATTGCCTTGCAGTGAGATCTTTCCCAATTTTCATTCTAGGTTTGGACTTGAATTACCAGCACTTTGCTCAGTAATTTTGGAAAACTGTCTTTATTTTTTCAAATTGAGCACTGGCTATATTTGATTTTTTTATTTTATATGCAGTTTACTTGAAATGTTTTTACTGTTCCCCATCTTTCAGTTTATTCTCTCATCCAGGCAGTTTGCTTTGGCGTTTGATTTTTGCTTTTCATGTGCATTCCTGTATGAAATCAGAGGAACTTTTTAGTTTATTGTCATTTAAAGAAAACAGCCTTTGGGTGTAAAAAGAAAACCTTGCTTTGCCCAAGATTGGGTACAGCAGTTTCTTTACAGGAAAACATGGTGATAAAGAATAGTTGAATTAAGTAACTCTGAAAAGCACAGATATTTGACGCTCCCATCAGTTTAATATATTTTATTTTAAAGTTAAACATGTAACCCACCCCGTGCTGATTTGTACTTCTCATCTGTGCCTAATCTAGGAGAAACGTAAACTTTTGCAGGGAGACAGAAAGGTTTTGTAGCGAGGGCTGCCGTGTGGAGGTGGAATTCTTGGCTGCTAACATATACTCTGGAACAAAAAGGTTGTTATAATCTAGACTACTTAAATTGACTGAGTGAAAAAGAAATTAAAAATTAATTTTAATGTTTTATTTCAGGTCTTAGAGTACTCATTATTCAAAGAATTATTGGTTTTATAAGTTTAATTCTACCTTTTTACTGGGAGACTGGATTATTCTCTCTGGGCAGACCCTGGCAAGAGCATGTATCTGCTCTGACTGAGGGCGTGAGTCACAGTTACTTTAACATCGAACCAAAATATGGCTTCCTAGTGCTCTTCAGTGAGGTAATGGGTTTAGCATGTCCTCTGGTAGAAACGTTTCAGCAGAGGCAGGCAAGTTTGATTAATGCTCACAGAAATCTTTAATGCAATCCTACTCGTAGTAATTTTCCAGATACACGCTTCTTGGGTACATTGCTAAATTCTTCTGTGTTAGCAATCCACATGTTATTTATGGGTCGGGGAGAGGTGATTTTGTTACAAACCATTTGGGAAACAGAAAATTAAATCATGATTTTAAGAACTGGATTCCGGCTCAATCAGTCAAATTGCTGTGTAATGGCAGAATAGACAAAATAATTGTTTGTCAGGGCAAATTTGAAGTGATTACATTTCCAAGTATACTTCTGTTTGCTATGACGCAGAGTTTGGTTTTATTTGTTCAGCTTAAAGTACCTGTCAGTATTACAAAGGCAACCACTCTTGAAATTAGCAAGTAACATTTTTTAAACTAATGTCTTATGTCAGTTCTGTTTTCAGTGCCCCTGAAGAGAAGTAAAATAAGTAAAATTCTTCTCATTTTGAAGCTTTCCTGTGCGTGCATTCTGTGTGTCTTGCCAGGCATGCTTTTGATCACAGTATATTCAGGCTTCTGTGCTTTTTATTGAAATCTCTGAATGCTTTGAATTTGAACCAGTTTCAGTCAAGAGGTTTGAGTTTTGTTTTTTCATTTACTTGTTTTTATGAAAAGTTTTGTACTCCACAAGTCTATTCTTGTTTAGTGTGAACAAAAAGAGGATATTGTATCGTCAGGACTAAGCAAAAGTCACTTCTCCTACCTGGGAGAGTGTTAAGAAATCCTTGGTTTTCCTCTGAAGCTGACTATTGAAGGTCGCTATGGAAACTGCACAACCTGAAGAATGGGTTTATACATATTACTTGAGTCAAAAAATAGTCCATCAGTTTCTCATCGGGAAATACGGAAGTGTGGTGTTTTCAGTATGCCTCTTATCTACGAAGTGTTGTCACAATAATAGCATTTCTTTCTATTTAATTGGAAATAGCTTCTCATTTACTGTGCCAAAAACTATTTTGTTAAGAACTCAGTAGTGATTGGGAATCCCAGTGTTGGATTGTAGCCTGGGGGTCAAAAGCAGGTTACCAGGTCCTGCAGCTTGTTGCTGGTGTGATATTACCTGAGTTTGATGACTTAATCTTTCTTAACAGGTCATGAAGAGTTTGCTAAATTAAGTTAATTACAAGAGAGAAGGGGCACATTATAAATCAAGGACTAACTATGCAAGACACCAGTGGTATTTGAAATGAAAAACATTAAATTGAAAATTTATTGAGTGTTTAGATGTTAACGTTTAGGTAGAGAATAGGCTATTTTACTAGCAGCAAGTTATAGTTACTGCTTCTGTAATTTCTTTACCACCCATCCCAACACCAAATGCAAAACTTTTTAGTGCAGGTGTATTAAAAACACTTGAGACTTTGATTTGCCCAAAGACCAACCTAGTCAATAAATTCACTGTATTAGATACGGCTGATGAGTGATGGGAATTGTCAGTACAGTTAGAAAAACCCTTTTGAGGACAGCGTCGGGTGATCAATGCCTTCTCCCTTTCGACCCCTTCCTGTCCCAGTCTTGGTTGCACATGTCTTGTGGAGTCTAAAGCCATAAATAGCGTTTATTAATCTGTATCTTTCTTTGTTATCAAGACAGACTTCATTTCAAATGGTCTCTGAAATTGCTGTCATTATAGTTGGTTACAATCAAATAAAAGGTCATTACTTACAGTTAATTTGAACCATAAAATATAATTATATGATGACTGCATTTATAGTAGATTTTGATAAGTAGTGCTTTCTTTGTCTTGCTTTAACAAAAATAGAAAATAGATTAGCTTCGGTAACAGGTCCAAGTCTTGCTACTATTTAAATTAGGAATATAATCTAATTTGGATCACATCAAAAAAATCAAGTCTGAAATAAAAAATACATTGAAGTTTACAGAGCAAACAAAGCACCAGGAAGATCTCTGTTTGGATACACATTAAATTTTAAAGCGGAATATTTCTTAGTGCTGAATATTCGAATTGAGAGCAAATGAGTGAAATTACAGAGTTCTGTTGTATTTTTCACTCTTGGTTAAAGGAAGAGCGATATAGCTCGTATTCTGGTAAAAACTATGAGTTTTAGTGAACCAATAAAGAAGCTGTGCTATTCAGTTTGTGGTAAATAGAGTTACTTTTTGGTACTTAATGTTTAGAACTGTTATTTGCACAAGTCTATGCACAGAATTTCTGGTATTATGACAAGTAACAATCCTTTTTCGTTGTTTAGTTTGCAGGTCGCAGTAAAAAAGAAACTAAATACTCTTTGAAGGCAGTGGAAGACATGCTGGAGACCCTGCAAATCACTCAGTCTTAGGTTTGCGCAGAGATCCAATATTAAATATTCCAATAGCATGTTCAGGCTATAATGACCTATGGGTTACGTTACTCTAATGCTGTTAAAAGTTAATTTTGTACTGATTAACGTGCTATCTAAAATATTGTTTTATGAAAAATAAAATGCCTATTTATTGCTGCTATGATAAATGTGGTGAATGCCCACTGAAATGAATAACTTACCCACACAGACAGCATTAAGAACTGACGTGTGCTGCACATCAGTGTCTTCAGATTTTTGTATCTACAGTACCTGCTTTCAAGCCGTAATTTGTAGAAATAAACTTGTTAAATGATTAAAAAAATCACAGTGATTTATTGGACTTGCAAATGGAAATTGCAGATTTATATCTGCAGATGCATAACATATTAGAAAATCTTACCTTATTTGCATATTTAAGAAAAAAAATGCTACGGATGTACACTTTCTGGTAAATGCTTACCATAAAGCAAGGAGTGATTACGAATACACTTTATTAGAAAAAAGTTGATGTTAATGGTTTTATTAATGAGTTGATATCCAGTACTGTAGAATCAGTGAATACTAACATACTTTGCATCAGAGGTGCCCTTGTAGTAGCTTGAGGCCAAAGACATTCTTCTCTGTGGCTTTGTGAGCAAATGCTTCCATATCCATATCGCTCTTCAGTCAGCATATGCATACGCACTTTTTGTTATTCCTGTGTTTCCTTTGCTCTACACACATTCTGCATCATGAATTTCAGAACCATTAGAATGCAGGGCTGCACGCTGGGCTTGGCTGATTTTGTACCTGCAAGGTGGGTGCCCCTTCACAGCAGCATAAACTGTGGTGTATCGGCTTCTCCACGGTGACCAGGTGTTACTGCACTGTGAGGGTGAGAGAGTTGGTTCAGCTGCCTTGTACTTAGAGGATAAAAGTGGGTTTACGGCATTAGCATGAAGGGGCTAGCACGCTGCAAATCTGTTTTGTGTTTGTCCTTAGGCACTTGTTTGTTCACCCAGATAATCAGTCAGACACCCAGATTCATGTCTTTTGCAGTTCTGTTCATTCTGGGTATTGTGTAGTTGTGTGTTGTAGCAGCTATAATTTCTTTTATTGTGGCTTCAGTGAGATTGCATAACAGCGGAAACATACACTACTAAAAATACTCTAATAACAAATTCTAATAAAACTACCTCAATGTCATTTTTGTGATGGTTACCACCATCCAAGCTGATTTGAGTTTCAGATTTTATACTGCCTGCTCTATATGGATGAGTAGCATAGAGGCTGTGTATTAAAATGTCCTTTTTATGATGCTGGACTTGATGTAATAAAACAAAGCTGAGCTTCTGCTTAAAAACAAAGCAGCAACAAAAACTTCCCTGTAAGTTCAAAGCTTGAAAATGCGTAGAGCTGAACTAGTTGTTGCTTGAAACTCTGCCTTTTAGACACATGTAAGATCTCGTTGTCTTCTTGTTATCTGTGTATGATAATGTGACGGGAAGGGTGCTGTGCCATGAGAATTAATTGCATGTGGAGTCGTAAAATAACTTAATGTGGTATCATTGAAATATAAAACCACAAGTGCTGGATAGTATTATATTAAATCGCCCAATTCTAACTTTGGGAAATAGTGCAGATCCTTTTATAATAGTAATTCACAATCTGGCCTCAGAACAGTATTTGCAGATGGATTATGTATGTTGCAGGTGGAAAATTAAGAAAATATCATAGGTGAACCCATGTATTTTTCTTCAGATTTATAGTCTTTTACTGTATGAGTGTGCCATCTAGAGTTTTAAACATTCATTAGTCTTTTTTTTATCTTACCTACATCTCAAATAACCTGGTTGTATTCTAGAATTAAAAATGGTGTAAAACTGTACTGTAGCCTAAAATTACTTGTCAGTGCACAACATTTTACCTCCAAGGTATTAAAAAAGACCCCAGCAGTAAAATATTCTTGTGCAGCAGGCATCTGTGCTGCTGGAAGCTGTCATACATAGTGTTTTGTTCAGAGGCAAAATTTAACATAGCAATGTCAGATGTGGGCATAGAGTATATATCAGTTACTCTCTAGGGAAATTTGTTCTGTTTCACGTTTTCAGTGATTTGATGTCGAATTTCATTCTCATTTGAATGCTAGTTTTCACCTTCTAGTTTTGACTACTGCTTAGCATCTTTTTGAAATCACCAGGTGCTCAGGCATTGGGATGCACTGCCCAGGGAAGTGGTGGAGTCACCGTCCCTGGAGGTGTTTAAGGAGAGGCTGGATGTGGCACTTAGTGCTTAGTGGTGGTGTTGGGTCATAGACTGAACTTGGTGATCTCAGAGGTCTTTTCCAGCCTCAACAATTCTGTGATTCTGTGATTTAGCACTCTGGTTTGTGCTTGTATTTTGGCATAATTCCCACATAGTAGAGCTTGCAAAAATACCTAGCAAATATTTCTGACAAAAATGTATCTACTTCAAAGGTAAAACATCTGATGAAAATACGTGGACAATCTTTGATAGAACTATTGAATTACAGCAATGGAAATTCAGGGTTTTTTCCATATTCAAATGAAAAAAAAAGTTTACAAAATCCCTGTGTCTACAGGGGAAGTAACTGTTTGAAATGCTCTGCGCTTTCTGCAAGTGAGGAGAAGCTGTGATATAATATCATCTTTATAAAAGTAATTTTCCAGTTCTAATAAATGATTTTGTAATATGTCACTGACACTGTCTTGCATTAAAGAATAGATTTTCAAAGAATGGCTTATTTAGTTAACAAATGAACTTGATTATGTTCTGTATTGTGCTCTGACATTGACAAATGCTACACAAAAGTAGTATTATCCAGCATGCAGTCTCCTCTGTCCAAAATAAAAGGCTATGTTTTCATATTGTTTCAGTCCACAGCAAAAACTCAAGACCTTTGCAATGCCAAATTGTGCAGCAATGACTTATGTCTACTTCTTGTGGCCATACTTTGAACACAGTCTTCATAGGGAGAGCTGAGAGTTACTTGTTGAAGTAAAGGTCGTTGAAGAGCCGTTGAAGAAACCTCCAGTTCTGCCTTTGCAATTCAAGTTATTGGTGACTTCTGAAAAGTCTTTTGTCCAAATGTTACGCAATTCATATTGTGTAGCTGCAAAAAGCACATCTTGTTTAGAATATACTCCTAAGTCTCTTCAGTTTGGTGCCCAGAATATCTTGCAGTTGCTATTGGAAACTCTGTTATTAGTCAACGGAGGACTTCCTCTTGGCAGCGCTGTATTTGTGATGGCATCTATGTTTGCTAGTCACTGCAGTTACAGTGGAACTTGTATTTCAGCCAGCTTTAGAAGGGAGGGGAAAGGGAAAGCAAATTAAACTTGACTTACTGGCATGAATTTGTTAGCTTCTTGTTACTTGCACCCTCATCTTCCAAGAACACCAACTGTAGCTGTAGTCAGGTTTGCAATAATAATTCTTCTTGTAACTCAAGAGCTTCCATGTATTCAGCTCTAAAACCAACACTCCATTAAAATCTAAGCTGTACAGATTCTGGTGAAACAGTGCTGTGCAATGTGCACATACCCCCGCATGCAGGGAAAAGACAGTTCCCCCACCCTCCCTCAACTTGGTGTCACGAGTGGAGGAGTGTTAGAAGAGTTCTTGAATGTGGTTTTGTCTATAAAACTAATGCTGCTTAGTATGTCTTGAAATATTACTTGCATTGGTCAGTGCATGGATAGAATTTTAGGACTAGCTGTTGATAATCTGCAAATGCTTGAGTCTACATGGAGAATAAAGTAGTTGAAATCATTCATTAGTCTTATCTGGAATGACTTTGCACCCTTGTAGATCTGTACCCCCTTGACAGGCACCATCTGGAAGTTGGATTCAACCCAGAGACTAGTTTTCAGAAATAAATGGTATTAATCTACCTGCCTCTTAAAAAATCAGCCAAACAAAAAAACCCCAAACACCAACCCCCCAAACACACCCAGATAAACAACCAAGCAAAAATAAAAGGAAAATAAAAAAACAACCTCAAAAACCCCAACCCTCGAAAAAAAGCCCTAAGCCATTACAAAACCTCCTCCAGCAGAGAAAGTTGGTTTTCAGGTGCTGGATATGAAATGGAAAACCTGTATCAGTGCACTTTCGTCCTGTAATGAGGAAGTCCCCTGGATAAAGCCATGCAATCCTTTTAAAGCTTGTCTAGAAGGAAGAAAGCCTGGAGAGCAGTACAAAGGCCAACTGCATAGGGCTAAATAAGTCTGGATCTGCACAGCCCAGAGCCTGCAGAGCCTGCAGAGCTGGTGCTCAGGTATGTGTGCTTGGAGAGCCAACACATCAGAGTCCCCACCCTGCTGGTGGCATGGCTGCACATGGTCTGCCTGCAGGTTTTTGCCCCTTCCAGGGACTGTCCTCTCTATTTTACTTTTAGGAATCTTGCAGAAGATTGGTGCCAGTGTGGTACACTACAGGTTTCACCAGGACCAGGTGCAGAGGTGAAGGTACAGATGGATCAGTTTGCTGGATTGATCTTGGATCTGTGAAGGTTTTGCACATTTTGAGCCTCAGTGCACCGAAAGGTCAGCGTGTAAGTCTTTGCCTCGGACTGAGAGGACATCAAACAGCTGACCCATCCGGTTGAACATCTGTGTCTGCTTAGCTCCTTTGTGGGTGCTCGACAAAGAACATCAGAGGGTGGGTATTATCCAGGCTGAACAACACACAAATGTGTAGAAAGATCTACTACCTGTCGTGTCCATGCGACTGCAGTTCAGTTCTCGAAATCACTGGGTGTTTTTGTGTGAATGTGGGAAAGAGCATGGAGTGAGTGACTTGAGGAAAATACTTCCAGATGGGAGGCCCCTTATCCAAGGTCAAAGAGATGACTGGAGGGAGGAAGAGCCACCTTTTCCACGTGTACAAGTCAGCATAGATCCAGTAATTCTCATCTCTGTAGAAGATTACAAAACACCCTGTGCTTTTGCGATGCATCAATGAGATGAAAGGCTGTTTTTAAAACAAAATACTTGCAATGGTAGTGCAAAAATGTTTTTCGCCTCATCCCTGTGAGGCTTACAATGTGATGACCTTGTCGGTGTTAGGGTTCCTCATGCTGTTTGGCTGGCACGTAGGCATCTGCCTTGGGGCTACCAGTGGAGAAAGACACATTTAGAGTTACTGCTCGCTTGGGAAAAGTTCCTGATGGACTTCCATCCTGGCAGGTCATGACCTGTTTGCATCAGCAATAGAAGCTCTACTTGTCCCGCAGACAGGGCTGCTTAAATAAGATTCCTCTTAGGATCACGGCTAATTTTCCCCAAAGAATAAAGGATCTTTTCCCAAATTTATGCAGTT